CTGGGTGGGGGATCTAACTCAGTGGTGGTGGGGGGATCTGGCACCATCCTGAAGAACAGTGGCCCCTCCAGCTGGAGGGCATAGGAAAGGGATCAACCCCCCGACCCCGGCACCCAGAGGAGAAAGGCAGTGAATTGCACGATGACCCCCCAGTGACCACCTGGTGAGGACTGAGATTCCCAACAGCAGCCGAGAGCAGCTCAATCCCTCGTGCTTCCATGTCCAGCTCTCCTTAGGGAGCGGGACCTGCCCATTCATGGGGAGCCCCAAACCTGGCTGCGATGAGCCCAGCACCCTCCAAGCAAGAGGCACCCGACCACAGGCAGGAGCGGGGATGGATCCAAGCGCAGCTCCGAGTGTGCAGGGAAGCCTCGGCTCCTCTCAAGCTCTTGTGCTGGATCCAGCCGTGGTGCAGCTTTAATCAGTGTCACTCATCAGCCTCAGCTTGAGCTCCAAAACAGGAATTTCCTCCTGGTGCCTTGGCTGAAGATGTTTCTCACCCAACTGACTTTTAGTTTGCTTTTGCCCCACAAGTTTCACTCCTGCTGTTGTAAAATGTTTATTTTTACTCAGGGTTCACCTTTTCCTTGGGACTATGGGAACAATCATGTGTGTTTGCTTAAGCCTTTCTCCTTGGCATGTGCCATACCCCAATAAACATGAGAGGCAGAAACCTAGTGTGGTTTTCTCCCCGACCAAAGAGTTTCATGTTGTAACAAGTCTCATCTTCTGATGAGATCTGAAAACATTTCCTGACTTTCTCCTGCCCTTTGAAGTCTGAATTAAAGGAACTCAGGTGAAGGGGCAACCGGGTCTCCTCTCACCCCTCTCTGTCTCCAAAAATGTGGGGAGTTTGTGAGTTTTGCAGAATAAGGAGGGTCTCACTGGGGAGGCAGAAGGGTTGTTGGGTGCAGAGTGGTAGTGACACAGTCAGGGGTGCCTTTGGTGACAGCCCTGGCAATGAGCCCACTCCTAGCAGAAAGAGGCAGCCCCTGAATTCTCCTGTGTGTCCTGCAGGATCTCTGGACATGGCAGAGATTCTTGTTCCACCATTGTCCCCACCAGGTCTGAGCAGACTTTCAGACTCTGTGGATTTTAGGAGACCCTTATCTTCCTCCTTCTCTTCCTCCTTCTCTTCCTCCTTCTCTTCCTCCTTCTCTTCCTAAGCCCTTTCCATGCTAGAGTTAGTCAGTTTGGGATGTTCCCCAGCTATTCCACCTCTCCCTGGCCACTGTGCCTCCTGACCACACAACTGCCCACCCTGTCTTCCGAGGTGGCCCCAGGACTGCAGTGCCACAGCTGGAGCTCCCAGGACACTCTGTGTGTGCACTCCAGGTGCTTTAGGAGCATCCTTCCATGGTTGGTGTGGGAGAAGGAAGAGCAGTCATCACCCCTCCAAATAATTTGGAGTTAATTCCTTGGTATCCATTATTTTGGAGCCAGCCCTACAGCTTTTCCTACTGTCTGCACTCACCAAGGATCCATGGATTGCTCTTAAGGCATCTCCAAAGGGTAACTGAGACCATGGGAAGAGCAAGACCTTCTCCCCCTGCTCCATCAAACCCCCCTCTCCTCAAAGCAGAGTATTTGGATAAATTTTGATCCCCAAACTCCTGGTGTGGTTTGACCTCCTGCTCAGGAAACCTTGAATCACATTCCTGGCCAACCACAGACTGCGCTTGGGGTGACTCATCCCACTTCTCCCATGTTCCATTCTGAGCTGGTAAAGGCTGAAGACATCCAGTACCAGCAGTGACAGGCGGAATGTCACAATGGAATGTCACAATGCTGCCAGCACGGGCTTGTCACTGCTTGGGTGGGGACATGGTTTGAGCGGTGGTTAAACATTCAGGGATTGTAAAAGTGACCTGAAGTGGTGTTGAATGAAAAGGCACTGACTTCGCTCGGAGTCACCCCAATCCCTCGGAGTCACCCCAATCCAAACTTGCTTCCAGCAGTGACTCCTGCCTGAGGAGAGACAAAGGGCTTCTCCAGAAACACAAAGGCTGTCACTAAAACAAACATACTTAAAAATCCCTCCCTTTTAGTTCCTGGGATTGCACCAGCAATTACGGAAAAATTATCCCAGGCGGACATAGAGATGATATAATTCCTGCCTTTGGTTGGAAGAGAGACAATGTTTTCCATGGTCTGAAAATAGGATCGGATTGGATTGGATTAATCAGGGCTTGTCCCTGCCCATGGCAGAGGATGGACCAAGAGGAACTTTAAGGTCCTTTCCAGCCCAAACCATTCCATGATTCTGTGATTTCATGGTTTCCTCTCAGTTATTCAAGGCCTGTTTATTTTCACAGCATCATGGAACAGTTTGGGTGGGAAGTGACCTTTGAAGGTCATTTTCCTGCACGGGGGGCTCCAGGAGAGCTGTAGAGGGACTTGGAAAGGGCCTGAAATTATGGGCTAAGGGGTGATGGCTGCCAGCTGGAACAGAGTAGGATTAGATGGGATATCCAGAAGGAATTCCTCCCTGTGAGGGTGGTGAGATCCTGGAATGGATTTTCTGGAAAAGCTGTGGCTGCTGCATCCCTGGAAGTGCCCAAGTCCAGGCTGGATGGGGCTTGGAGCAGTGAGGTCTACTGGAAGCTATCTCTGCTCATAGCAGGGGTAGGATGGGAAGATCTTTTCACTCCTTTCTCACCCAAGCCATCCCAGCTCTGCCCATCATGTCTGAACCAGGAGGTGCTATCAATACCCAAATCCCAGTTTGATTTCCTAAGCTTGGCTGGAGTCATGGCCGTGACTCAACGCTCTGCGTTATCTCTCCACGGGCGCTCGGGGCTCTGCTGTTTGCTGACTCGGGAACTCTCCTCCCCTGGGAACAGGAGAACTTTCAGATCGTGTCATCCCGCCCACGGAAGCAGAAAAAAATCCCAACAAAAATCCCCCAGGAAAGCGTAACCAGAGGTTTGATAACACTGAGGGAGGTGGGTCTTGCCTGGGCTGCTGGGGACAGTTCCTCAGCCCCCATTTTTAATGTTTGTGTATTGATTTCTTGTCTATTTTTTGATTTATTGCCTATAAAAACTTCTGTCCAACCCCCAACCCCTCCCTTCCTTTGCTCGCACAGTGAGCTTTTGATATTATATATATTTACTTTCTCAAAAGTAGGACTTGGTGATCTTGAAGGTCTTTTCCAGTCTTAACAATTCTATGATTCCATGATCTTTATTAGTCTTATCTACCCCCCCTTAATCCACCTCCTCGAGCCCTCCTAGACCCACACAGGTCCTGGAGGTGGGATAAACACAGGGAATATCATGTTTTCCAGTGGAAATGCCAGTTTAGCTGCATGTCCGGGTCCCAAGGCACTTTTGGAAATGGGTGTCTGGGCGATATTTTTAGAGGTATTTAAACATCTGATGATAGCAGAAGTTGCTGGTGTGGATTTTCCAGAAGCTCTTAATTAACATGTGTCCTGTGAGAATTCTAAGACCTGCACTAGATGGCTGCCAGCACAGTTAGGTGCCTCCAGAGGTGTGTGTTTGGACTTCAGCATGGGCTATGTGGCTTTAAAATGTTGAAAAATAATAAAGAAATCTACTTTTTTCTATATTTTTTCTATAAAAAAGAAAATAAGACTAGCTGCTGTTTGATAAATAGGGCAAAAAGGTGGATCTGTGGTGGATTTTTGGATTAAATGACTTACAGAGTCAGCCTGAATCATTCCATGATTCTGTAAAGGGTGGTGCATGCCCAATCCCTGGAAATGTCCAAGGCCAGGTTGGACAGGGACTTGGAGCCACCTGCGATAGTGGAAGGTGTCCTTGCCCATGGCATGCAGAGGAATGAGATGGGCTTTAAGGTCCTTTTCAACCCAAACCATTCTGGAATTCTGTGATGGATCATAGTCTGAATCCATCCTCAGTCAGGCATTGGAACCGGAGGATTCCGACAAACTCCTGCCTTTCTAAAATCTACATCTGGCAAAGATATATTTGCATATAAACAGCAAAAGAAGTGAAACAGCTGGAAAGAATGGTGATGCCTCCAAGCCCTGTGCTCTCCGGATTTTCAAATCCCTATAAAGGAGTTGAGCCTCTATTAATTGCATTTAAATCGTTCCAGGGCATGTGATGTGGGCAGCAAGGTTTGGGATCCCTCCTCCCACTGCGCTCCCGGGGCTGTCCCTCCATCTTCCTGCACGTCCCACCATGGCAGCCAGTGCCTGGTGTCTCCTCATGGTCCTGAAGCTTTCAGAAAATCCTACACAGGTTTCCCGGATAGGTATTTCCTCACCAGTGCTGAGATTATCTTGGCATGAAGACAGTGGGACATGCTTTAGTCCAACAATAAATGAATTTCCAGTGCCAACACCAGCGTCTCGTCACCGGTGAGGTTTTATTTATCAAAAAGGTGCAGAGCCTCATCAAAATGCAATTTGCTGAGCCCTGGCTGTAGATTGAGAAATTCAATTATCCAAGCCAAAGGCAATTTTCCAAGTAAAAAGAAGGCTGAGGGTGTAACTTAGGTGTGTTTTGGGAATTGTGAAAGCCAGGCTACAACTTGGCATGAGCCGCAGTGCCTGCCTGCAATGGGGCTTTGGAGTGAGAGATTTAAAGATAAACACAAGCAGGGAAACAACCCCAGCGGATGAAAGGTGGAAAAAAAATGCCCGGTGTATCCCAGGGAGGCTCTTGCAGCTCCAAAAGGTGTAGCGTTCCTTAGTCATGGACTGCTGGAAGCCCCAGTAGGATCTTTTCTGCCTTTTCTCCTGCATTAGAGGGTGTGTTTCTGGGTAGGGTCAATGTTTGGCAAATTGGAGATGGAAATCTTTAGCCACGCCACAGTGATGAAGACAGGACCTGTCTCCTCCTTCACGCCCATGCAGACCCAGCCCACCTCCAAAAACACATAAAAGGGAGAGTGCGCTGCCCTCCAGCCAGAGGGACTGACTTCCCTTCTTCCACCCACCTCATCACCCACAACCCCGTCGAGTTCCTCAGCTTCTCCATTCTTGGCTCTCTTGAGGATAACCAGCCATGTCTCGCCAGTCTGTCTGCAGGAGCTTCGGAGGGGGGAGCAGAAGGGGCTTTAGCTCCTGCTCTGCAATCGGTGGTGGCTTTGGAGGTGGCAGCCGGAGCAGGAGCAGCTACAGCTCGTACTCCGTGTCCAGGGGGTTCGGAGGTGGAGGACGGTGCGGGGGCTTTGGCAGCCGCAGCCTCCACAACATGGGGGGCAGCGCCAGGATGTCCATGGGTGGGTGCTACGGTGGCGGGTACGGCAGCAGGATGGGTGGCTTTGGCGGGAGCTACGGGGGTCTCGGCAGCTTTGGGGGAGGAATGGGTGGAGGAGGAGGAGGAATGTGTGGCTTTGGAGGAATGGGTGGAGGTGGAATGGGGGGTGGAGGAGGAATGGGTGGCTTTGGTGGAGGAATGGGTAGCTTTGGTGGTGGGATGGGTGGTGGAGGAATGGGTGGCTTTGGTGGCCCAGGCTTTGGCATGGGTGGCCCTGGGAGAGGTGGCCCTGGGATCCAGCCAGTGCAGATTGACACAACCCTCCTGCGTCCGGTCCATGTTGAGATTGATCCCCAGATCCAGCAAGTTAAAAACCAGGAGAAGGAGCAGATCAAGACCCTGAACAACCAGTTTGCCTCCTTCATTGACAAGGTGAGAGGGTGGGATTGTGCCTGATTAAGGCCAAAATTAGGAGGAGCTTTCCAGTTGCGCAGAAATGTCCTTCTGGAGCTAAATCCCAGCAGGCAGAGAAGCTTGAGCAGAGCCTTTTCATTAAGGGAAGAGATGGGAATCTCTCCTCCACACAAGATCAAAGCAATGTCTCCAGGGCTTTCATCTGTCCTGTTGCACCAAGCTCTACTCTGAGGTTACGCTCTCAAGCAGGTTCAACATCTTCAACCTCCGCAGGTTTCGGGCACAGATTCTCCCTCCTCCACCACTCTCTGCCCAAACAACCTCCCATTTAAGTATTAATTTATATATTTTTCTCTTTCAAATCTCCAGGCTTTTAAATCTAGGCTGGAGATCAGATTTCCACACTACCTGTGATAGGGACAGACTTGGAGTAAGAGCAACATGCAAAAACTTCTTTGAGTAGAAAAATATTAGAAATTTTCTTCTTTTCCTGATTTTGCAGCTCAGGCACCAAAAGAAAGTTTAAAAAAACAGAGTTAATTTGTTGTCTGATCACCATGCAAATCTTTGTGAGTTATGCAAGAGACGTTTTGGTGGGAGCTGTTCCTGTGTGATGGTGGGTCCTCCCTCCGTGTCTTGGCTGTAGGTGCGATTCCTGGAGCAGCAGAACAAGGTGCTCTCCACCAAGTGGGAGCTGCTCCAGCAGCAAGGGCCGTCAGGGCCAAGGAAGAACCTGGATGTGATCTTTGAGAATTACATCCAGAACCTGCGGAGGCAGCTGGAATCAATCCTGGCACAGCGGGGCCAGCTGGAATCGGAGCTGCAGAACATGCAACAGTACGTCGAGGATTACAAAACCAAGTGAGTGCGGAGCCAGGAGTAGCTCAAGCAGCCTTTTGGTCACTTTAATTTTCCCCAACTCTTTTTTATGGTGATAGTGGAGATAGCTCCTCAGCCTAAATATTTTAATTTAGTGTTTTTCCCCCTTTTAGTTTGTTTCTAATGGCCTTAGGCAGGAAAGTCCAGGAATACAATTTGCACTTTTCCTTTCCATAGGTATGAGGAAGAGATCAACCGGCGCACAACAGCTGAGAACGAGTTCGTGGTGCTGAAGAAGGTGAGTCACAGGCACCACAAAATAATCCCTCAATATTTCGCTTTACCTGTGCTTGAATGGGAATTGTGGAATTTTTAAGATGTCCCACCTGATATCTGGAATCCCTTCTATCCAATTTGCATAATTGGATGACACCATAACATTATTTATTTTTAATTATTTACATCTATGGTTACTGAATTATATACAAACATAATGATGTCCCAGTGAATAACATCAAACCCTCTGCCCTGATGGTGATTCCCACAAGCCTGAAGGATTCCCAAGAGGAAAAACATTATTTTCTGTGGGATCTTTCCTTTAGGATGTGGACAGTGCCTACATGACCAAAGTTGAGCTTGAAGCCAAGGTGGGAGCTCTGACAGATAAAAAGGCCTTCAAACGATACACCTTGGGCAGTACAAGAGCCTGGCCAAGGCTACCAAGATGGACCCAAGATGGACAAGAGGTCACGAGTTTTTGCACTTTTACAGGTTTTGGTCCATTTACATATTAAGGTTAATTGTCCAATTACAGCTTCAGGTTATGAAGTTCCATCCTTCCAGACTCTGCTTCTCAATTCAGTGTTGTTTATACTTTTTGGGCTTGAAGTTTGGATTTCGGGCTGGAAAAAGATTATTTTGTCTTACTAAACTGTGAGGAGAACTTGCTAACACTTTGTATGAAGTTCAGAGTTATATACTAATGCAGCACAGAATCTGGATAATATGAATGCTAAAACTTAAGGCATCAAAACCTCTTGATAAAATGGCCCAAAATGCACCTTAATGAGAAAACTCCAGCCCAAGTGGCTTTTCAGAAGCCAGGAGATGCTTTTTAGTGTCACTAAGATCCATTTCAAAGCTCAAACCCCATGGCTGAGTCCCAGAGCCACCTTGACCATTGAGCTGGGCATCCATCAGCAGTGCAGGGGGTCCTCATAGTGTCACCCGACCCTTGAAACTGGGGACAAATTTCCTAGAGGCACCAGGAATGTGTCCCTGATGGGTCGTTATGTCTTGGTGCCATCAGTATGAGCAGCTCCAGAGCACGGCCGGCCGGCACGGGGACAACCTCCGCAACACCAAGATTGAGATCCAGGAGCTGACCAGGAACATTCAGAGGCTGCGGGCTGAGATTGAGAACGTGAAGAAGCAGGTAGGGATTGGTTGATGTCTTGGGGATGAGATCGAGGACATGAAGAAAGGAAGGGGCTGGTTGGTGTCTGGGGAAGGTGGCAGCAGGTTGCATCACAAAAGACCATGTGTGGGGCAGAAACCTTCTGTCACCCCAAGTTCACTTCATGCAGATGTTTATTTGCCTCCTGATTTCTCCTCTTGGAGGTCTGAGGACTGATCATTAGGGACAAAATGAGGTCTGAGAAAGCTCTTGTTGTGCTCCCCAGAACCAGCAGCTTCAGGCAGCCATTGCTGAGGCTGAGGAGAGGGGAGAGATGGCTCTCAAAGACGCCAGGTTGAAGCTGGAAGAGCTGGAGAGTGCCCTGCAGAAGGACACTTCCCTGGAGCTTCAGCTTCCATTCCATACGTCTCGGCTCTCAGTGACACCTGGGACACCTCATACACACCTGGACTCTTCCCAAGGAGAACAAAACTGTCCTTCAGTGCCTAGCTCCCATGACACAGTGCAGATGTAGTGTCCCCACCTCCCCCCCTCCTCTGTGGTCTGCCCTCCTTCCTCAGGATATTGCCATTCCCAATAAATTGCAGAGAATATTCACGATGTTGTTGTGTTGCTGCTTTGGGAGCTGCTCTGGGCAGGGTGGGAGAGAGGGTTGTTCTCCTGCCTGTCCCTGTTTTTTGAGGGAACAGATCAGTGGTGGGGATGCATCAGGGCAGGTGCCCCAGCTCAAGATGATGCTCTTGACAGGAGGCACAAGCCTATGTCTGGAATGGTGGAGGTCTGGTTCCTCCAGCCAACAATGAAAAGTAAGAGCCCAGGTGGGAGACCTGGAATCATTGAATAATGGAATGGTTTGGATTGGAAGGGACCATAAAGATCATCCAATTCCAACGCCCTGCCATGAACATGGACACCTTCCATTACATGAGAGGTGTCGCACCCCTTGGACCAACCAATGTAATTAAATTGCTGCTTCTAAGGTTCCTTCAGGATCATCTCCAGGTGCAGGAGACTTTGGCCTGTGTTAGGTGAAGGAGATGGCACCAGTGTTGCCATGTGTAGTGGAGGGAGGGCAGGGGAATATGGATCAGGATGTTGGTGAAGCACCTGCCACTGGCTGCAGTCAGCCACAAACTCATCTGCCTCAGGGTGAGCCATGATTCCAGCCATGGGAACACGACGGGCTGGGAAGGTGATTCATCCCCATCCATGAGCTCAGCCACGATCCTCTCCCTGAGAAGCCGATTAGTTCCCCAACGGCTCATCCTTGCTCCAAGAGCAGGAGGGAGAGATTTGGAGGAACTCAAGGAGGGGGTTTGGGAAGGGAGTCCAGAGTGTTTGATCCATGGTTCCTTCACCACCTGGAGAGATCAAAGAGGCAGAAAATGCTGTCAGTGGTGGTTCAGGAGTCCCACAACAGCCTCTGGAGTTGCTGATGTTCCTAGAGTGGGACAGGAACATGCAGACTGAGGGAGAGGTCCAGGAGAGGCAACAGGGAATGACTACAGGCTTCTTGGAAGAGAGAATTATCCCACTGGAAGCCCAGCAGGAGGGTGCCAGGGTTGGGGAACGTGGCTGGATTTGGCCCAACAGGAAGATGCTGAGAAGGCTCTCAGAAGCTGGCATTGTGCCAGGAGCACTTTGAGGTTTGGCTTGGGGCAAGAGTCACCTGTTTTGGTGCTTAATTTTAAGAGCCTGTTTCTTCTCAGCTTTAAAATCCAGAACACAGCATTGTAGTCTCATATGAGGAGTTGTTGCAACACCTCCTCTGTGCAAGCTCCATGAGGAAGCTCTTGGTTGGGTCAGATGTGAAGCCGGAGCATGGCTTTGGTCTCCACGTTTTCTGCCAAGTTCACATTTTCCCTGGTGTTGATCTTACCGTGTTCAACTCCTTGTGCAAGAGATCTGTAGGATCAGTTTGGTGTTGAGTCTCAGCTGAAGGAGGCTGAAGTGACTCCAGGTTTGGAATAATCTGCACATCTTGTCTAAATACGTCAGAGTGACTCAATCTGGGCGTCTTATCTGCAGGAGCTGAGCGTGGTCAGCACCCAGGCATCTGGCTGACTTTGCAGATCATCCTCCTCGTTGTGGAAACTCGTTGTGGGATATTCCAGTGAAGTCCTGGTGCCTTCATACCATGGGTTTGGCAGCTGGGAGGGAGGCCAGGAGAAGGGACAACCTGTTTTCTCCACCTAAACCCGAGCCGTGCTGCAGCTGCCCCAGGCTGCTCGTCATGAGCAAGTGTGCTGGGCTGCAGGGTGGTCTGGAGAGCTTAAAGGTCCATCTGGGAGATGACCATGGAGAAACCAGCCCATCTTGATTGCAGCTGCTTTTGGAAAGGAGGGTGTCGCCTCTGTGCTTTGTGGGTGCTGTCCATTCTCCAGCTGCAGGAACACACACCTGGGTAACCTTTGGCCAACCACTGGTCTCCCTCAAATCTGGATAACCTTGTCCCGCAAGGGTGGGACAATCCTTGGCCAGCTCTTACCTGAGTCCCTTGAGAGGGGGATAACTCTTGACTAACCAGGAGCTAGGAGTGGGATAACTCTCGTTCAAGTGTTACTGAGCCCCCAGGAGTGGGATAACTCTTGTCCAACTGTTGAGTCTCCCAAGGGTGGGATAACCCTTGGCTAACCATTGATTCTCTCAAGGGGAATGTTCTCCCCTCCCTGTTCCATGCTGACCAGGGGGCTCAGTACCGCCGTCCCAGTGACAGTCAGGGGCATTTTGGTTTTTGATGCCTCTTGTTACTTTCAAACCAGATTTAGTTGCCTAGATCTCTTTGAAGACTCTAAAAATTCCTTCTGAAGTTCTGTATTCATATACAGGTCTTTTGAATGGCCTCAAATTCATGTTTCAAGGGCTACAATGTGCATTTTCTGTAATTTTTTCATTACTTGTGCTATTTTATTGGAAAATTAATTTTATATTTAATTCATTGAATTATTCAGGTATTTAATTGATAATATCCAGGTAGATAAAAGCTTTAGAATGCCTCTTAAATAGTATTTACAGACTTGGCTTCCTTTTAAACTAGAATCTATTTTTTGGGGAACAAATTGATATTATTTGTATTTTCTGCAATTAATTAAATTTCATTTACATGTAACACAAAAAAAGGGATTTATTTCAGAGACATTTTCTAAAATACATTTCTAAACCACATTCCTAAACCACATTCCTTTCCCAATAAATTATTTGGAAGCAAAAGGTTATACTGTGCCTTGGGGGTTGCAACAGCTCCATTTCTCAGCAGGTTTTTCCATGTCAGTCATCTCATTTTTGGGAAAAAACAGGTAATTCAGAGGTCATGGGATTCAGCAGAGTAGCAGGAACCCCTTACCACTTCAAATTGTTCATCTGTCGCTCCTCTTGCATAGTGCTTCTCTGTCTGTCCCTGACATTGTCGTCAAAGGGTTCCCAACGTGTCCCTTCATTCTTCCTCAAGTTGTCACTCCCTGTCACCCTCAGAGCACTGAGGAGAGCGGGATGATTCCAGTCATATTCTTCCCTCTGCTTCAGCATCATCCAAAGCCCCAGCTGATTGTCCCAGATTTGTGGAGTTGCAAGTGGAGGGAATTTAGTCTGCAGGCAGAAGACACTCCCATTGGAGTGACACCCCGTGCTCCAAGGAGATGTTTTTCCTCTCTAGCAGGAGAATATGCTGAGTCTCCTCAAATTTTGGTGTCGTGAATTCCCATTCAGGATTGGGAAACATCTGAAACACAAATGCAATTTAACATATAAAAAGAAGATTAAGGGTGTGTGTAAGGAATTGTGAAAGCCATATTATAGCTGGGATTTCATCAAAACTTTGTCTTTCTGTGGAGCTTTGATAGGGAGATCTTTATCTGGAATTATTGGGAGCCACTCATGAGGGCTGGATAGCCAATGAGGGGCTGCAGAAAAGGGGTTTATGAATAAAATTGATTTCCAAGATGTCATAAAGATACGAGAGTCCACTTAGTCATGGAGACGTGTCTCGATGCTCTCGTTTTATTCACCTCTAGATTACAGGGCGTGTTTCTGGGCAGCCCCAAATATGGCAAAGCTCGTGGAGAATCTGTCAACAACCCCGTGCTGATGAAAATACTAAATTGCTTTCCACCTTCACGCCCAAGCTGTCCCAGCCCACCTCCAGCAGTGGATAAAAGGGAATGCCCGAAGCTGTTGGAACCAGAGAAGACTCTGCAGACTTCTTCCTGCCCTCATCAACTCCGTTGGTCTTTCTGCTCTTCTGGATTTTGATTCTGCTTGGAAAAAAACAGCCATGTCTGTCTGCAGGAGCTTTGGAGTCGGGGGGAGAAAGGGATTCAGCTCCTGCTCTGCTGTCGGTGGTGGATTTGGAGGCGGTGGTGGCCGGAGCAAGATCAGCTACAGCTCATACTCCTCATCTCGGGGAGGAAGCGGAGGAGGACACTGTGGAGGGTTCAGTAGCCGGAGCCTCCATAGCACGGGGGGCAGCAGAAGGATTGCCATGGGCGGGTGCTATGGTGGTGGTGGATACGGTGGCAGGATGGGTGGCTTTGGTGGAGGAATGAGCTGTGGAGGAATGGGTGGTGGTGGAATGGGTGGTGGAGGAATGGGAATGGGTGGCTTTGGTGGTGGAATGTGTGGTGGAATGGGTGGTGGAGCAGGAATGGGTGGCTTTGGTGGTGGAATGGGCAGTGGGGGAATGGGTGGAATGGGTGGCTTTGGTGGTCCAGGCTTCCCTGGAGGCATCCAGCCGGTGCAAGTTGACCCCAGCCTCCTGCGGCCAGTCCATGTTGAGATTGACCCCCAGATCCAGCAAGTCAAAACCCAGGAGAAGGAGCAGATCAAGACCCTGAACAACCAGTTCGCCTCCTTCATTGACAAGGTGAGAGTTTAGGATGGGTTTTTTTTGGAGGTGGAATGTCAAACAACTTCCTTGGGGAATGAACTGGGAATTTTTTCACTTACCAACAGTTGCTGGAGTTGTCAGACCAATGCCTCAGCATCAAATTGTAATTAGTCAGGTTCAGTTAATAAGTAATACTGAACAATAGTGGAGGTTTTGTGCTAATGGAAGATTAAAGAGAACATCTGCAGGATATTCTCGGGATTGTCTAGGCAAGGCACTTCTGCAGCCTCATTTTGAGTGATTCAGGGCAAAGTCATCATTTTAAATTTAATTGTCCTAAGAGTTCTCATTGCTGGGATTTGCTTTTTGATGAAACGTTCTTCTCAAAGCCTGATTCTAGAAACTGCAGAGCATTAAACCCCTTTCCAAAATGCTTGGAATATTTTAACTTCAAATAGAAGCCAAAGAAATAGAGAATCTCTCCCAAGAGAATGCATGGGCAGTTAGGGAATAAAAATTTCATCTTTCTTGACTTCAGTGCTGGAAAGATGATGGCAGAGTCCAACCCTGATGCTATGGAAAATTGGAATGGTGTTTTCTACTGGGAACATCACTTTGTCCCCAGGGGAGAAGTTCAGAATGACTCAAAACTTAATTGTCTAATAATAAATAAATTAAATAATGCTTCACATACACTTCAGGAGCTTAAATGCCTGAATGAGACATAGATGAGGAATGATTCCCTGGGCTCCCAAATCTCCCAGGAGCAGCATGTCTCTCTGGTGAATGTCTCACACACTCTTTGTGGCTGTAGGTGCGATTCCTGGAGCAGCAGAACAAGGTGCTCTCCACCAAGTGGGAGCTGCTCCAGCAGCAAGGGCCGTCAGGGCCGAGGAAGAACCTGGATGCGATCTTTGAGAATTACATCCAGAACCTGCGGAGGAGGCTGGAGTCTCTGCTGGGGCAGCGGAGCCAGCTGGAATCGGAGCTGCAGAACATGAGGCAGTACGTGGAGGAGTTCAAAACCAAGTGAGTGCGGGGACAGACAGGGAGGGATGAGCCGGGAGAGCGGAGCTGACCCCACAGGTGGAGTGACCAGGGGTCTCAGAGTCTCACCTTGTCCTGCCCCCACCACAGGTATGAGGAGGAGATCAACCGTCGCACGGCTGCTGAGAACGAGTTTGTGGTGCTGAAGAAGGTGAGTCTGGAAGGCACCAGCAGGGACAGGGTGAGGGGGGACGGGAGGCAATGACATAGGAAGGACTCAGCTCCAAGATGGGCAGACCCCAACAGAAAGAGCCAACAGTTCTTGTGCGATTAAAGGAAGCCATGGTCCAAATCTGAGATCTTTTCTTTAGGATGTGGACTGTGCCTACATGACCAAAGTTGAGCTGGAAGCCAAGGTGGGAGCTCTGACAGACGAAATCAACTTCCTGAGGTGCATCTACGAGGAGGTAGGAGCTCTCTCTTCCCCTTGCTGAAGTCTTAATGAGGGTGTGGTGACCAAAGTCGCTGAGGTTGGACTGGGTGTCTTTGTGGGTTTGATCTGGAGAGATTGCCTGGAGCTACTGCTCTTTACTCCCCTCAAGAGAAGGTGCCTCTGACTCATGTCTTGGTTGCAGGAGCTGTCTCAGATGCAGACGATCAGCCGGGACCTGTCCGTGGTGGTGTCCATGGACAACAACCGGCACCTGGACCTGGACAGCATCATCGAGGAGGTTCGGCGCCAGTACGAGCAGATTGCCCAGAGCAGCCGGGCTGAGGCTGAGGCCTGGTACCAGAGCCGGGTGAGTTGGGAACGACTTGAGGCTCCTGGGACAATCCCTGCTGCTTGAACCACCTGAGCTTTTGGTCAATTGTGTTCCTGACGGGTATCTTTGTCCCCATGTCTCCAGTATGAAGAGCTCCAGAACACTGCTGGAAAACACGGGGACAGCCTCCGCAACACCAAGATTGAGATCCAGGAGCTGACCAGGAACATTCAGAGGCTGCGGGCTGAGATTGAGAACGTGAAGAAGCAGGTATGGGACCATCAGGGCCTCACTGGGTAACTGCTGTGTGCTGGGTCAGGATGGGGCTGCGTGTTAAGAGGCAAAGCAATCATGATAATTCACGCCCTTTGGAGAAGATGGATTATGCGTGTCTGTTTTCGCTCCAGTTTGTGCCCTGAGGATGCTCCAGTAGAGGGTGGGTGGAAGGGATCTCACACACTGGTTTTCTCTTCCTCAGAACCAGCAGCTTCAGTCAGCCATCGCTGAGGCTGAGGAGAGGGGAGAGATGGCCATCAAGGATGCCAGGAGGAAGCTGGAAGAGCTGGAATGTGCCCTGAACAAGGACAAGGAGGAACTGGCTCGCCTGCTGAAGGAGTACCAGGAGCTGCTGAACACCAAAATTGCACTGGACGTTGAGATTGCTATGTACAGGAAGCTGCTGGAGGGAGAAGAGAACAGGTACTTAACTGGCATCTATTTGACTAAATTCTTGACAGATTATACGACGTGGGGGTAAAACCTTTGAATCTACACTAAAGATTGATTTGGTGTCATTCACGCTCTAATTCTCAAGTATATATTACTTATATTAAGCATAAACATACTTAAGTGGGCTTTCCATCTTAAAAGAATGTGAAGGTAAAGGTTGTTCATTTCTTTAAAGAATAATTGGAAAATTCTGAAAAAGAAATTGAATAGGTTGCTAATTTTTCAAAGAATAATTGAGAAATATAAACTTGTACAAGAAAGAGAAATTCTCTGCTGAAGAGCCATGTATTTCCCAGAGGAATAACTGGCCCCCTTTTCTCTCACAGGCTGTGCAACGACAGCATGTCCAACGTCAATGTCTGTAAGTATCTGCCCTGGGGTCCTTCAGAAGTGGTAGAACTTGTTATTTTGGGCAACAGGTGAGTAACCTGTGCTTCTCTTCCAGCTGTGGTGGGCAGGACGACTGTCTCCGGAGGCAGAGGAGGCATGGGAGGCGGATTCGGAGGCAGCGGCATGGGAGGAGGATTCGGAGGCGGCAGCTGTGGAATGGGAGGATTCGGAGGCGGCAGCGGCATGGGAGGAGGAATGGGAGGAGGCATCTGCGGAGGAGGCAGCAGCTTCGGAGGAGGCAGCATGGGCGGCAGCTGCGGGATGGGGGGAGGAATGTACGGTGGCGGCTTCTCCTCTGGGAGCGGAAGGATGTGCGGCTCCGGCGGGGGATCCTCCTCCGTGCGGAGATGCGTCACCACCACCTCGGTCAAGTCTTCGGGGGTGAGATTCTGAGCCCCGAAGGTTGACAAGGAAAGAAGCACCTCCTCTCTCCTCCTGACAGCAGCCCAGCCTCCTGAAGCCCAGCTCTGGTGTCCTGCAATGGGATGAACTGTGTCCCCCCACCCAGCTTGCTCCAGATCCCGGTCCCACCCGGCGGTTTGGGGCGATGCTGTGGGTGTCCCGGCACCGGGAGCTGCCTGGCAGGAGGGGCTGCTCTGCCTTCCTTGCTGTGTTGTACATTTCTTTTGGCAAATGTGTATAAAACTCCTCTTTCCCCGTCTCTCCTCCTGTTCTGTGTCCCCACCTCCCTTCCTCTGTGTGTGTGTCCTGCCCTCCTTTTCTGGGATGTTGCCATTCCCAATAAATTGCAGAGAACATTAATGATGTTGTCGTGTCGATGCTTCGGGAGCCATTCTAGGCAGAGCGGTTCATGCTTTGGGGAGGCAGCTTGTTGTGAAGCTGGGGCGTCATTCTTTGCTCAACGTGTGGTACCTGTGCTTTGAGGGAGGTGAACAGGTGGGCGTGGACCAGGGCAGGCATCACAGCTCAAGTGATGACTGACTCTCACCTGAGGGCACAAGTCCAGGTGCTGGGTGCTGGATGCTCAGTTCCCACAACGCTCAGTAACTGAGCCAGCAGAAGACCAAACTGAGGAATACAGGAGCCTGCTCAGTTTTTAGGCATCTCCTGACATAGTGAATCATCCAGTTCATCCCTGGAATCCTGTAGAGTTACGCTCCCACAGCAGATTTCTGCAATTGTTGGTTCTGGAAACCTCCAGCACATTCCCAGTGCTTCCCAGTCACTGAGCTAATACAAGCTGTCCTGTCCCAGTTTTTTTGGCTCAGCTTTAGGCACATAGAGGTACTCAGTGCCTCAGCGCCTACATCACATCTCTCCAGATGTGGCAACCCTTCAATTCCTGAAGCTCTAGGAAAGGGTCCTTCTCAATCCCTCTTGGCTTTTGGAAGCTCTGCAAAGGGTCTGCTGAAACCTGTGTCCTGGGATTTAGGCAGGAACATTCCCAGTGCCTCATTGCCAGACCAGCAGAGACCCACAGGGGCTGATAGATGACGAGAATCAGCAGCAGCAGGTGGGAGCCAACACTAGATAAGAGCCATCTGAGCTTTCTGCCTCTGAATGGTCTTCGGGTTGTGATGAGGGAGTGGCAGGGTAGGAGCCCCTTGGGTGGGGGAACTGGTGAACATGGATAACAATGGATCAGGGTGTTGGTCAAGCACCTGCCTCTGGTGCACACCTGGGCTGTGGGATGGCCAGGTGGGATGCACAGCTTAGTACCCAGAGAGCAGGGGGAGCACTGGAGAGCCATGTGCCATCCCTGACCAGCCGTGGGAACACGATGGGCTGGGAAGGTGTGATTCATCCCCATCCATGAGCTCAGGTACCATCCTCTCCCTGAGAAGCCAATTAATTCCCCAGCGGCTCATCCTTGCTCCAAGAGCAGGAGAGATTTGGAGGAGCTCAAGGCAGGGGTTTGGGAGGGGAGTCCAGAGTGTTTGATCTGAGCTGTGCTGTGGTTCCTCTACCACCTGGAGAGATCAAAGAGGCAGAAAATGCTGTCAGTGGTGGTTCAGGAGTCCCACAACAGCCTCTGGGAGTTGCTGATGCTCCTAGAATGGGACAGGAAGCTGCAGACCAAGGGAGAGGTCCAGGAAAGGCAGTGGGCTCTTGGAAAAGGGGCTTCTCGCCACTTTGAACGGTGCTGAAGCTGGAATTGTGGCTGGGTTTGGCCCAAATAAAGATGCTGAGTAGGCAATGCCTGTGCGAAGCTGGTGTTGTGCCAGGAGCACTTTGAGGTTTGGCTTGCGGCAAGAGTCACTTGTTTTGGTGCTTAATCACCTGTTTCAGTGTATAATTTTAAGAGCCTGTTTCTTCTAAACTTTACAACGATCTTTACGTGGCGTTGTAGCGCTGCTGTGAAGAGTCATTGCAACACCTCCTCCGTGCTCTTGGTTGGGTCAGATGTGAAGCTGGAGCATGGCTCAGTCTCGATCCATGTTTTCTGCCGAGTTCACATTTTCCCTGGTGTTGATGATTCTGCTGTGCACAGCTCCTTGCGCAAGACATCTGAGGGCATGGCTGGAGCCCAGCTGCCTGTCGAGTTTTAGCTGGAGGAGACTCAGGTGACTCCAGGTTTGGAATAATCTGCACATCTTGTCTAAATACGTCAGAGTGACTCAATCTGGGCGTCTTATCTGCAGGAGCTGAGCGTGGTCAGCACCCAGGCATCTGGCTGACTTTGCAGATCATCCTCCTCGTTGTGGAAACTCGTTGTGGGATATTCCAGTGAAGTCCTGGTGCCTTCATACCATGGGTTTGGCAGCTGGGAGGGAGGCCAGGAGAAGGGACAACCTGTTTTCTCCACCTAAACCCGAGCCGTGCTGCAGCTGCCCCAGGCTGCTCGTCATGAGCAAGTGTGCTGGGCTGCAGGGTGGTCTGGAGAGCTTAAAGGTCCATCTGGGAGATGACCATGGAGAAACCAGCCCATCTTGATTGCAGCTGCTTTTGGAAAGGAGGGTGTCGCCTCTGTGCTTTGTGGGTGCTGTCCATTCTCCAGCTGCAGGAACACACACCTGGGTAACCTTTGGCCAACCATGACTTGTATTCCTCAAGGATGGGATAGCCCTTTGCCAACTGTTTAGTCCATTCATGGAAGGATAATCCTTGGCCAACTGTTGCATCCCTCAATTGCTGAATAACTGTTGCCAGCTGTTGAGTCCCTAAGGGTGGGATAATCTTGGCCAATATTTGAATCCCTGTCAAGGGTAACGTCCTCTTCTTCCTCCCATCCCACAAACTCTGTGGCTCCAGAAGCCTCATCCCAGTGGCAATCAATAAAATTCGTGTTTCTAATTCCTCCAGTGGCTTTTGGAAGTGTTTTACTGGGCTGGTTTTCCAGAGTGTGTCTATGGTCATCAGCTGATTCCTAGGGATGTATTCAAACCACATTTACCTGCCCAAATCTTTCCAGTGTGACCACGAAAACTCAACACATGTAACTGGGAAGCTTAAAAACAGGATATATTTTGACTGCTGAAGTGCTTCAAGATATATTTTTCCCTTGACTTTTATTAATGGTTTTCAGGAAATAAGAATGAAGGAAATTTTGGTGTTTTTTACCAATAAAAGCAATAAATGTAACAGAAATATTTATTTGATTAGTGAGGCTCAGAAGATACATCACAGGATGTCCTTCATTTGAGTGTCCGAATCCACTGCCGGGGGAGCTGGTGCATGAAATTAAACATTATTGTCAGTCATCATTACAACATCTACTGCCTGGAGCGTCCTTTCCATCCTCTGTGGCTTGGTTTGACAATCGCTGTGGCCATTGGAAAAGCACAAGCAAAGAGTTGGACATCCTTGTTCTTTTGCTCTGGTGCTCAGAATCCCAGGACCTGGTTGTCTCAGACTTTGTCGGACATATTTTGGAGGGGAAAAATCCCACCTGATGCTCTTAGGAAGGAACTAAACAGCTCCTTTCTGGTTAAAACAGAAATGCTGACCCCTGTTAAGTGTTAATGATATGGCATTTTTCCACTTGGAAAGCCATCAGGAATTTTCTGCTTAACAAGGAGATGCGGTGTGTGCTTGGGGGAATTATGAAAGCCTCATTCTATCTGGGTTTCACCAAAATCCTTACCTGGTGTGGAGTGTCAGCCAAAAATCTGGAATCAGACAACCTGTGGAGTCGTTAGGAGCAGGCAGGGAAACGGGAGGAGGGAAGAACATGACAACATCACTGTAAAATATATTTTTCCAGATGACATGAAGATATGAGAGTCCACTTACTCACAGAGACCTGCCTCGGTGCTCCTGCTTCTCCCTCTGCATGGCGAAGCGGATTTCTGGGTGGAGTCACCAATTTGGCAAAAAATCTGTTAACCGCACCAAGCTGATGAAGACAGTAAATTTGTTTCCTCTTCACGCCCAAGTTGTCCCAGCCCACCTCCAGGAGCAGATAAAAGGGAATGCCTGGAGCTGTGGAGCCAGAGAAGACTCTGAGCACTTCTCTCTGCCCTCAGCACCAGCTCAGCTCTGTGGATCTCCTCATCTTCCCCAGCTTTGGCTCTTTGAGGAGAACCAGCCATGTCTCGTCAGTCTGTCTGCAGGAGCTTCGGAATTGGGAGCAAAAGGGGATTCAGCTCCTGCTCTGCTGTTGGTGGTGGCTTTGGAGGCAGTGGTGGCCGGAGCAGGATCAGCTACAGCTCGTTCTCCACATCCCGGGGGATTGGAGGTGGCAGCGGACGCTGTGGAGGATTCAGCAGCCGGAGCCTCCACAACCTGGGGGGCAGCACAAGGATTTCCATGGGCAGCTGTTATGGCAATGGCTACGGATGTAGAATTGGTGGCTTTGGTGGAGGATTTCCAGGAGGATTTGGTGGCATTGGAGGAGGTGTCATTGGTGGAGGAATGGGCGGCTTTTGTGGCCCCATCAGAGGTGGCCCTGGGTTCCCTGGAGGCATCCAACCAGTGCAGGTGGACCCAACCCTCCTGCGGCCAGTCCATGTTGACATCGACCCTCAGATCCAGCAAGTGAAGTGCCAGGAGAAGGAGCAGATCAAGACTCTGAACAACCAGTTTGCCTCCTTCATTGACAAGGTGAGAGGTTGGAGCTGGACTTGCATGGGAATGGGAAAACTGCAGAAATTCCTCGTGCTCTGGAGAAGGAAGTATCCTTCTCAGCTCAGTGCTAGGCTGTGATTGTTTCCATTGGGTTCCATCTGGTTTCCTCATGAGGAAGTGTCAAAATTTAGCATCCACAGCGAAACTGAACAACTTTCTCCCAGTTTGGTGGATGCACACTGGTTTTCACTCCAGTGCAGACAGGCCAAAGGGATGGGGATTTACTCAGTGACCAAAGTCTGCCTTAAGTCTGTCCTTTCTCTGGGATAATTTTTTCTCAAGGAACTTAAAGTCTAGGAATAAAATAAAAAAAATTCCTAACCATTTCTTCTTTCAGTTTAAGTGCAGATGAGCTCCCTTTAAATTATCCAGACTGGGAGATGTTGGTTATAAGTGTGCTCCATGTCTTTTAAATATATGATGTATATATGGAATAATTTTTGTGTTTGATAAGAGGAATGTTCTTGAACATGGAGACCAATAGGATTTCATTCACTGGTAGGTCAAAAAGGATCTGATGCTCAAAAAAAAACCAACAAAAAACCCAGAGACACAGGAGGAGAAAAGAGGAATTTAAGGATAAGGGGGGAAAAAGGAGAAAAAAGAGAGGAA